GTGGGTCCCCGGCAGGTCACAGCTGACTTTGTTGTCATTAATACTCGACCTGCGCATGCGCTTGAATGATCATTCAGTGCTTGAAGCACCGCCTCTGGCGGTCATCCGGGATTCATAGAACCGTAGTTACGATAGTAACTTTCGTTCTACTGGTTCTCCTTTTCTGCCTCCATCTCAGTCTGTTTTCTTCAGACCTTCGTCTGTTTGTTGCGTTCCCTAAAGACACTGTAAGTTTAACTATTTAACTTGGTTTCATAGTAAAAGTTAAACTTTAATCATTTAACAGTCTTTTTCTGCTTTCTGTGGTTTTTAGAAAAGATTCTGCTTTTATTCCAGACCAAACTTTTAATTTTACTGTAAATGAAGGAAAATCTCCTCGATTACTAGATTATTTTCTGAAACAGTCAACATGAGGAGCAGATGATGTGTGTTCTTCACTTAAAAAAGTTGCTGCTTTTTCAGGTCTTTAGATCAAACTTTCATTTTCTCCTTTAATGTCAATTAACAAGCAGAGCAGCTGCTTCCTGTGGAGCCTTTCATAATAAGAGCATCAATATTATTAAACATCAATTTTATTGAAATATACGTTTCCTTGTATTAAACTGTCTGAAGCTTTAATAGAGCATAAAATCCATCTGTTTAATTTGATGGTTTAGAAACACATCAGGTCCAGATGTTCAGAGTTTCTGATGCACAAAGAAGTATTTTTTACGGCACTAGTAGCTCGTTTTTTGTACAGTAGGCTGACAGGAAAGGGGTTAGGAGAGAGGGGGAGAGGCATGAGGCAAAGGACCACAGGCCGGATTCGAGGCCCCATCGAGAACTAAGGCCTCCGTACATGGGTCGTTGGCCCTAACACTGCACCACCGTAGCACGCTCATAATGCAGGAAGAAGCTTGACTGATTAATATTTAAGATCTTAGAGTGTTGGAGTCTGAAATTAATTCACTCTAATTCCAAACTATAATGATTTAATTAATTTCAAAATGGTTAAATTTCTGACAAATTTCATCAGTCCTTCGTTTCAGTTTTTAATGTTAGACATACTTTAGCATCAAATCTTTATTTCTGTAATAGATGGTAAACAGCTACTGTATCCTACAGGTGGGAATCAGTGAATGTTAATGTAGCTTCATCCTGTGTTCTTGGCTGCAGCTGCAGGTGTGTGAGCTNTACCGTAACTACGGTTCTATGAATCCCGGATGACTGCCAGAGTGCTGGGTCCCTCGGAATCTCTGCTTTCGCGAGAAGATTGAGGGATTGATTGCCGGGTGCCACGTGACTATATAGAGTCACGTGGCAGGTCACAGGTGACTTTGTTGTCATTAGTACTCGACCTGCGCAAGAATGATCATTCAGTGCTTGAAGCACCGCCTCTGGCGGTCATCCGGGATTCATAGAACCGTAGTTACGGTAGTAACTTTCGTTCTTTGTGTTGTCCCCAGAGGGACCGGTGGTTGTTGTCCCCAGAGTGACCGGTGATTGTCCCCAGAGGGGCCGGTGCTTGTGTCCCCAGAGGAGCTGTCGGTTGGCCCCGTCTTGTTCCTTATAGTTCCAGGGTTCTTTGTGTTGTCCCCAGAGGGACCGGTGATTGTGGTGGTTGTCCCCAGAGGGGCCGGTGGTGGTTGTCCCCAGAGTGACCAGTGTTTGTCCCCAGAGGGGCCGGTGCTTGTGTCCCCAGAGGAGCTGTCGGTTGGCCCCATCTTGTTCCTTATAGTTCCAGGGTTCTTTGTGTTGTCCCCAGAGGGACCGGTGGTTGTTGTCCCCAGAGGGACCGGTGGTTGTTGTCCCCAGAGGGACCGGTGGTTGTTGTCCCCAGAGGGACCGGTGATTGTCACCTGAGGGACCGGTGGTGGTTGTCCCCAGAGGAGCTGTTGGTTGGCCCCGTCTTGTTCCTTATAGTTCCAGGGTTCTTTGTGTTGTCAGATTCAGGTAATTTTTTAATCGTCTTCCAGTCTTAAGCTCCAGGAATCCATGATGAAGGCCAGAGAAGCCAGGAGAAAATATTAACAGAAGTGGAAGAAGAGAAAAAAGCAGACGTTGTATGAAGGAGGCTCTAAATGAACTAAACCCCACCCAGGCACTGAGAAACAAACTCAATATTATCAATAACCCTTAGTTTACAAACAAAAAGTCAACCAGATTGTGCAGAGGATGAAACCATTAAAGCATCCCTAAAGGCATTCCAGCTTCCAGTTGGAGAGGAAAACAACAACATGCTGCTGCGAGCAGAGATTAAAGAAAATCATTAGAAACTACAATAAAAAGAATGAAAATGAGCTGAACTCCAGGAAGCAATGGATAGAATGGAAATGTGTTTAGAAAGAGCTGAATCCCATGCTGCTAGCGTCCTGTCATCACTGAAGAGAGAGGAGATAATTACGGTCATTCCTAAAGACTGCTGGAAAGTTGGAGACCAATACCTCTTCCTCTGCCGCTTCTGGCAGCCATCTTAGATTTAGTCTTCAGGACGAAAACTATTAGTTTTAATAAAAGTTCTCCTGATCTGCTATGAATTATGCATTACACAAAGATCAATAAAAGCGGCATTACTCCAAAAAAGCAACAAACAAAAACATTCTTCTTTCTACTTTGGCAATTTTAACTTTATTTCTTCATTTTCCAAAAAGGTGAAGCTGTTTGGAAAAATGTGCTTTGATGATTACTGACCACCCTTTGATTGAATGCAATGAAAATGAAAGCGACGGACTGGACCGCCCTCTGCTGGCGGGTCGGTCCCTGGAGGTCTGGCTCCAGAAACAGGAGCTGGATTCAGACTCTAAACGCGTGTTTATCCCTCATAGAGGCAACAGCTGCATCCTGGCTGATGAGATGGGCCTAGGGAAGACCATCCAGACCATCTCCTTCCTAAACTACCTGTTCCATGAGCACCAGCTCTACGGGCCCTTCCTCCTGGTGGTGCCGCTGTCCACTCTGACCTCCTGGCAGAGGGAGATCCTGCTCTGGGCTCCAAAGATGAATGTTGTTGTTTACCTCGGCGACATCAGCAGCAGGAACATGGTGGGTTTTCTGTAGCTAATATAGCTATATTAGTATGTTAGCTAGCGGCTGAATGTTATATGCTCTGTTTTCCCTGAATAGATCCGAACACATGAGTGGATGCACGTCCACAACAAGAGGCTGAAATTCAACATCCTCCTCACAACATATGAAATTCTTCTAAAAGACAAGGTCAGCTAATTCTGATGCTTCTCCTGCAGCGAGCTGCTGATGTTCTCCTGCAGCGAGCTGCTGATGTTCTCCTGCAGCGAGCTGCTGATGTTCTCCTGCATTAAACCATCCTCTGCTGTGTCCAGTCCTTCTTAGGCGGCGTTAACTGGGCCTTCATCGGGGTGGATGAAGCTCACAGGCTGAAGAACGATGACTCTCTTCTCTACAAAACCATGATCGACTTTAAGTCCAGCCACAGGCTGCTGATCACAGGAACGCCTCTGCAGAACTCGCTCAAAGAGCTCTGGTCCCTGCTGCACTTCATCATGCCTGAAAAGTACGTAGAGTTTCTCTTCCTCTTCTTCCACTCCTTTCCTGTTTCCTTCTCTGGTTCCCAGCTCAATGCTAGCGAAGGCTAGCTGAGGACCAAAAGAAGTAAGAAGGTAAAGACATGTTTACCTCCTGCTGGTCAGTAGGCGGCGCCCTCACTGTTAGCCAGCCGCTTTCCCAGGAGCTCCTTCTGATCTGTCTGACTGACACTGCGTTCCCGCTGGGAAGCAAACCTCTTTGCTTTAACCAGGTGACATGGATTATTGTCCGCTCGTGTTTTACCTTAATCGAGCTTTGATGCAGTCAGTGAAATGCTAAAGGTTGCCCTGTTGAGCAAATGGATTTAGTCGGACCTCAACAAACACTTAGCCCCCCTGCTAACTCTGCTAACCACTGGTTTCCTTTGCTTTCTTGCTTTGGAGTCCCAAACAGAAACCAGACTTCTCTGGATTCGTTCCTCTCTTTGGTTGTGATCCATT